ACAAAAACCTGTGTCTCACTGCAAGTGCTAGGTCTGATCACCCCTGCACCACCACATCCGTGCGTTACCTTCAGCAAGAGAGGAACTTTGGTGTTTCCCAAGAGATGGCTCCTGAAAGTCCAGTTCATGCTGAACCTAGTGGTGTGATGGGGCTGCATCCCACACAGCCAATTTTAAGTCCCAGACTTACATGAAAAACACTGGGTTAATATGTGTGCCCAAAATCCTGAAGAGGGAAAAAAGGAGAAGGGATTGTAGCATGACCATCTCCCATGGGAGGTGCTTTTCTTCTCTCTCTGGTGAGTGCACGCACCCTCTGGCAAAAATTAAAAAAAAAAAAAGACAAAAGCAAACAAGTGTAGGGACATACACACACAAAAGATGCAATAATGGTATTTAAAACTGCACAACATGAATATTTGAATATGGTATTTATTATAGGTGGGCTACAGACATGGCACTAAGCTTTCTAGCTTTTATGTTGAAAGAGAAACTTGATCAGTTAGACAAGTTTAAAGATAAAAGGAAGCCAACAATTCAGGAGAAGTATACCATTTCTAATGCGAACAGACAAATTCCTCCCAAGGGTCCTCATAAAGAGGCTAGAGCAATATAATGAGCATCTTTTTCAGTCGTCACACAGCAATGACTACTGTGGGATTGTTTCTCCTAGTTTGCTCCAAACAGAATGATAGCACATTTCACTGAAGGCAATTCTTTTTTTGGAGAGATTTTTCCTGTATGAGGTATGTGGCTCACTGGAGAGACAGAAAGAGAGAAATTACTCCCTAGGGGAGATGGCCACACCACAATCCCTTCTGCTCCATTCTCCTCTAGGGATTTTGGATATACATGCTCGTGCACCAGCGTGAGTTTAAGCCACGGGGTCTGGGACTCAAATCGAGTCTGGGACTCAAACCGGGTCTGGGACTCAAACCGGGTCTGGGACTCAAAAACCATGGTAGACTACCTGGGAATCCAGTGAGGTAATCATTACATCATGTGCTGGTCCCCAGCGAAGACTGTACTGGATCAATATGGAAGGTAAAAGGAAAAAAAAATCTACATAAAAGTAAGAACCTCCCAGGATTTTTTAATAAGGTAATGATTTCAAACCTCGTCCGTACACTGGCATCACTAGGAGATTTTAAAGTTACTGATGTTTGAGCCCCATCCTGGGCTAATCACATCTGAATCTTCCTTGGGTAGGGGGCGCTCTATTTTGTTTTAATGCTATCCAGTCCAGATAATTCTAAAGGTTCACCAAAGAAGCTTTTACAATGTCTGGATGCTCTGGGTCAATTAAATCAAAATCTCTGGGAGGGAGACCCAGGTATCAGTATTTTAAAACAATTTTTAAGTTTATTTCTTTTAGGGGACCAGCAGGCAGCGTAGTGATTAAGGCACTGGACACTCCCACATGGCCAACCACAGTTCAGAGTCTCTGTCTCTCTCAGGTCAAGTTAAAAATAAATGAATGTGGGATCAGCAGGTGGCACGGTGGTTAAGGGCGCTGGACTCCCACATGGCCGACCGCGGTTCCAGTCCCAGACCTGGCACCATGCTTTCTCAAATAAAATAAATGAAATAATTCTTTTTTAAAAAGTTTATTGTATTCATCATAAAAAGTATTTGCAAACACATGTGAGAGAGGGTGAAGCCCTCTTGACAGCCTCATTACACTGTGATCCCCTTCCCCCAGCTCTCCAGTTCTTCACGCATGTACTCGGCCAGTGTGTTTCGGGCCTTCAGGGCAAGGATCTGAATCTGTGGCCAGCCATGTGGCTTTCAGCACTGCAGTTCAGTTTACTACCAACTGTGCCACCAAGGCCGGGCCAGACCTAAGTATTTCTTTAAACTCCCAGGTTGGATTCAAAGTCCCACCAAGGTTAAAAACTATCAATCCGGGACCAGCAGGTAGCATGGTGGTTAAGGCGCTGGACACTCCCACATGGCTGACCGGGATTCGAATCCTGGACCTGGTGGCTTGCTTTCTCACTTCCTCTCTCTCTCACCCTCTGTCTTTTTCTGGTCAAATTAAAAAATCAATGAATGAATAAATAAAAAATAAAATAAATAATTATTAAAAAGAAAAATTTAAAAAACAACTATTGATCCACAGGAATGGATGGACCTACTGGCACATGGGTCACACGATGCTTCCTGAATCCCATGTCTCTCAGCTGAGTTCTAAACAGGTATTAACAATGATACTGACAGTATGCTTCCCAGCTCACCTTTATCGCCAATAATTAAAGACCCAAAACTGTGATAAATGAGGAGCTGGGATTGGTTGGACTTTATACATATCTAATTTATACATATCTAATTTACATATATATATTAAGGAACCTGCCTAGGCGGGGGCCATCTTGCCACTGTCTAGAACGGAGCTGAGGGAAATCTGTACAGGGCCAAATCTTTTTTTTTTTTTTTTTGGGGGGGGGGGGGGGGTTTTTTTTTTTTTTTTTTTTTTTGCTATAGGGCACGTGTGCTTGCCAGAAAGACAGAAAGACTGGGAGACAGAGAGCAAGAAATCACCCCCCAGGGGGGACGGCCATACCACAATCCCTTCTCCTCCATTCTCCTCTCGAGATCTTGGGCACGCACACACACGTGCCCAGCGTGAGTTTAAGCCACCAGGTCCGGGACTCGAACTGCAGTCAACTACACAAGAGTCCAGCAACATAGCCATTACATTAACTGCTGGTCCCATGAAGTTTATTTTTGGGGGGGGGAGAGGTTTTTCGCTATAGGGTGCATGCGCTCGCCAGACAGACAAAGAGAGACATAGAGACAGAAAGCGAGAAATCACACCCCAGGGGGGATGGTCACGCCGCAACCCCTTCTCCTCCATTCTCCTCTCGGGATCTTGGGCACGCACGCACACATGCCCGGTGTGAGTTTTAAGCCACCAGGTCCAGGACGCGAACCACGGTCGACTACATGGGAGTCCAGCAACATAGCCATTACGTTAACTGCTGGTTCCCAAGGGCCAAATCTTTTCTTTTGAAAGTGTACTTGAATCTGTTCTAATGATGAGAAAAACAGGGCCAAATTCCATCTATCTATAAAGCACAGATGCAATCTTTTAGCAAGACAGGTTAAACCAACAGCCATAAGAAAACAACTCAATAAAATAATCTAGTTTTAAACAATGCTACCTGCTACCTTCTGAGGATTCGTGAGATAACCAAATGAAGTGACTTGTCACGTACGTTCAGCTATCAACCAGTCACAAATCAGAAAACATGTACCAAAGGCAATTTTAGTTTTAGAATTGTTGTCAGGAAATCCCTTCTGCCTATAGTTAATAGCTAAACCAGGAATATTGAAAAATCCCAATAACATCCTCTATCAAATTGGATCTTAAAGAGAACACCTGAAACAGAATATCAAGAAACAAGTTATAGGAAGCTGATGACATTTACACACAGCCTAAATGAAAGAGTTTGTTCCACCCCTGGGTTTTATGCACAGGACTTCATTCTAAATAATCAGAGATGTTTAAAGTACCTGCTTACAGTCTGGAGAAAATGGGCAGGCAAGAGAGGTGACAATGCCATCTCTAATAGCAAGGCAAGCCATGGACACAGATACTCCGTAGTATTTCGTGGCTACACAGATAGAAGATGAATGAATAAGCGACCATGAGAGTGGAAGATATCCATAACATGCCTGCTGGCCCAGAAGAATGCCGTAAAGAACATAAATCTTTTTCCAGGGCCTTCAGGGAGTCTGTAGACTATACATACTATTTCCTGGCTTATATTTCAAATGTCTATTCTCCAGTACCACTGATAACTTTGTCTTTAATAAAGATTCTTATGTTACCTTCCAGCTCTTCTGTAACAAGTACAAATAGAGACGATGCACAAGAGATGGGACATGTATGTACAATATCATAAGGGAAACGTAGTGATCTAATGTAAAGGGCAAAGTAAGGGACTGAAAGAAAGATCAAAGGATCAAAAAGAAAGAAAAGTCCAGTACCAGACACAAAAAATGATATAGCCATAGAAAAGGTAACAGGAAACCTGGAAATAGAATTTAGTGCCTGCTGAGCATATTTATTTATGAGGGAAGGTGCTTCAGCGTTTGATTGCATGTACGGCCAGCTTTAACAACTGGGCTTTCAGTTGTATGATGTTAAGACACAGCCCAAGGGTTCCTAGAAAGCAACGGTGATCACGAAGTGTCGGTTTGGACAGCTTGTTTGATAGGCCCCAACATCAGCCTGGAAGCCAGCCTGAAGATTTCAGGTGGCCTATTCCTCTTCACTGGGCCATCCAGGAAGGGTAATCATTTCTAAAAAATGAATTATTTGTGCCCTAATCATAATCATTCTGACCAAGCCAGGCAGATTTTAAGACAATATAGCCACAAGACTAAACCATTTCACATTTTTCCCCCTACCTGGAGTCCCTTCTACTATAGGTTTAGAAACCTGAAATAGAAAAGGAGAATCTCAAGATACAGTCTTTATTCCCAAAAAGCCTTCAGTAGATGGCAAATGGTCTCCCGTGATTCTGAGTAAAACTGTTGTAAAGTCCACGCCCAACGACATCGACCTGCTATGATCCCAGTTACGGTGGCTTCAGTCACAAAGGTCCCTGCAACTCTTGGACAAAAAAATCTTCAACACGATCACACCTTATCTTCACGTTCATTCAGACATTTGTTAGAAATACTCAATCTCCGCCCGACTCCACACCTGCTGAATCATAATCTTCATTTTAACAAGATCCCCAGGCGACTCCAAGCATGTTAAGCGCACACTACTGGCTGTGCTGCCCTGCAAACTAAGTTCCTGAGCGCCCTCCTCCAGAAGGACCCGCCAGCCCAGCATCTTTACTCCAGTCTGGGGAGGAGCTGGCTACTCCGTTTTCCCTTGGTCTGGACTCAGCCCGAGCTGGCAGGAGGAAAACTCCGAAGGTTTAAGTGCGAGAAAAGCACCCGGCCCGTCACACGGTCCTCCCCCACCAGGGCCGACCTCTCACCTGCTCCTCCCGCGGGAGCGGCTTGAGAGGACTCCGCGCTCCGTGTCGATACACCACCTGCACCATCTTCAGCTGCAGCAGGCTGCGGTCGACCGGATGGTGACCGTCACCCCCTTGCAGCTTGGCCAGGGCGACCCGCCGCTGGTGGAGGCAGTAGGCCAGCGAGGTCAGGACGCCCACCCGGGCCCACGCACGCACGCCGAAGACACCAGTGATCATGCTCGTAGCCCTCGGCCGCCCTCCGCCTCGAGGCTGCGGGAGACGAACTCCAGCCCTCCGCCGGCGCCGGGGCTCAGCAGCCGCGCTCAAGTTCGCGGGAACCGGCGGCCTCGGACATCCAGCCCCTCTCCCCCAACAAGGCGGGATCGCTGAGACTCCGAGTGGGAGCGTGGGGCAAGAAGCGAAAGTGGGAGCAGCGAAGACTCCCCAGGAGTTTTAACCCGGGTCGAGGCGGGCTGGCCGCTCCGCGGGCGGAGCCTGGGGACCTCGGCTCCTGACCTTTCGCCCTCTTGGGAACCTTAAACTTGCACTCCGGGCTCGGCCTCCAGCGCTCTCGAAGGGACAGTTGCCAAGCCTGAGTTTTGGGGCTGAGGCGGCCCGGCTAGGACGACTCGTCCTACTTTTCTGTCAGCAGCAAGCTCCCACCCGCCCCCTGGCCCACCCACGGACCTGGCCCAATGTTCCCGCGCAGGGGAGCACGGGAAAACGAGTCCCGCGGCGACGCCCGGTTCCGAGGCGGAGAGTTGCGGGAACTACAAGCCCCACAAGACTGCGCGCACTGGGCCCCCACCCGACCGCCTGCACCGGCCCCCGCGGCAGGCCTGGCTCCCCAGTGTAGCGGGGTGGGATCCCGGCCTGGGCTGGTAGTGGAGTTGCCTAGGCCAGCGGAGAGGTGGGAGTGCATGTGTGGGGCCAGCGACCTCGCCAGGTAGCATAGGGAGGAAACGCGAGGACAGGGGTGGAATTGGGAGGTGGCGGGAAGCAGTTTGAATCTACTTTTGTTTCAAGTCCTAGGAGCGGGGTTGGGCGATTTCCATGTACAAAGCGCCGAAACTAGGTGCCTTTCATGACTCTTCATTTACTATGCCCCTACTAAGTTTCAAAAAATTCAGACTTGAATCGTGACCATCATGTAAAATTTTCAGCTAGTTGTCGTGTTTATCTCAACATTCTGCAATAGTTTCTGTGGAAAATTTCAGGTCTTGCCTGTGGGTATTCCAGTGACTAAGAACCTTACTTTACACAGAACAGTGCCAACCTCACCAGTTGCTGGTCTATTTTCTGTTGACTACACAACCACGCCTAGCTTGTGTTCCCAGAGCTTTGCAACAGCTCAGCAATCTGGAACTCATGTGTCCATCTCAAGGTAAAGGCCAAGTTGAGAGGAAGGTATTGGTGAGGGGAGTCTGAATATATGTCTTCTAGGCACTTCTTTAATCATTCTAAATGCCACCCCTGGACCAAACTGGGCCAGAAGTAAAGACAGAACTATGGAGAGCATGAATCCTGACCTGAGTCTGAACTCTGTTTACCAAGCTGGAAAGTTCCAAGGGTTCCCTGGAGCAAGGGAGGGTTATTTTGGAACACTACACACTGTCACAGCTCAGAGCTCCATCCCCCACACCAGCACCCCCAGCCCATGGACTCACTTTTCACCAGTCATCCTAGCTGGGCTGCTACAGCCCAGAAACTCAGGCTTATTGTGTGTCCTGAGGTGACTAATACTGAATGCTGTTAGCTATGGGTATAGCTGTGGCCCTCTGAAATTCATGTAATAAATCCCTAACTCCATCAAGACTGTATTTAGAGATGGGGTGATGAGGGTTAAAAAGTTTAAAAAGTGGGGTCTTAATCTAGAAAGGAGAGTTAACTCTCTCCATACCCACATACTGGGGAAGGGCCATGTAAGCACCCAGGTCTTAACCCAGTAGTATAAAAGAGGAAGAGAGTTACCTCTCTCCACACCCTCATAGTGGGAAGGACTATGTGAGCACACAGAGAGAAGGCAAGCATAGCCAGGCAGGAGGAAAGCCTCACCAGACCTGACCGTGCTGGCACCTAGATCTCAGCTTTCCAACCTTCAGAATTTTGTGAAAATAACTCTGTTGTTCATGCCACCCAGACTGTGGTTTTAGTTAAGGAGCCCAAGCAGGCTAGAGTACTGTTTTACTTTAGTCTCCTTAAGGCACCAGGAGCACCAGACATCACTGCTTTGGAACATGTATAACAAAAAGTAACAGTTACTCAGCAGTTCAGCAAAAACATGGTACAGCTGGAGTGAAAACATGGTACGGGTGGGGCGCGGAAAGACGCTGGTCCTTGAGCAGCTTTGGCTGTCTTCATAGTTTTAGGACACCTGGGCAGTTTCAAGGCAATGTGATGTTAGTGTCTACAGAAATGCACAAAGGCAATTGATACTAGTCCACATACTGTACTCTGGCAGCCTCAGCACAGACTTTGCAGGCCTCAAGAGCAGCGTTGACCTCTAGATGCAATGACAGTGGCTCCTCCTGCCAGGGCTTGAGTAGGAAGTGCAGGGAATATCTTAGCAGCAGATCTCTGCAGGAAGCCAGAGCAGGTCAGGTTGGAAAAATGACAGATTCCATGTGTTAGCTGAAATCACTGTTTGTCAGCACATGTGAGGCAACCCTTGGGGCATCCTATAAATATTTTGTGTTTGCTGAATGGTGGCAGTGCTAGTGGTAGTGAGCTGTAGTTTAAAAGAGAGGCAACAGGGAACCAGCAGTTAGCGTAATGGCTATGTCGCTGGACTCCCACATAGTCGACCGCGGTTCGTGTCCCGGACCCGGTGGCTTAAAACTCACGCCGGGCGTGTGTGCGTGCGTGCCCAAGATCCTGAGAGGAGAATGGAGGAGAAGGGATTGCGGCGTGGCCATCCCCCC